AAGTATCCATCCACAGCCACGACCAAGAAGCTTACTATGAGAAATCAAGGGCACGTTTTAAAGACGTTTAATATGCACTCTCACAAGAGATTTTTATTGTCATTGATTTGAATCAATTCGATGTATAAACCATAGTTTAACTCTTTTAAACAAAAACTTTTTGGAACTGCAACAGAACTGGATGACAAATTGGTACAGTTTGTCCGTGTGTTACTCATTTCGCCTTTTACACGAGCTCAGTAATTGAGTAGATTTTTGCTTTCGTGTCATCAGATTTAAATAAAGGAATAACAATCAGACCATACAACAATCTAAATAAAACACTTTCATCGGCACGCAAATCTTGTTTGTACGTGTGTGTGATCACGGTTATTAAAAATCATGAATTCGTTCAATCGGAGACGTCAGCTTTGCTTTGCACTTAACCTAACCTTGAGAAACCATTGGCTTGYATCTTCGAACTTTCAGTGAAAAATGTCTTTAAATATTTGTGCACTCGGTACTAATCTCAAAGTAAATGTTTGCATTCAAGGATAACAGTTATTTCCTTAAGAACGAAAACATATTTGAACTGCATGTCATTTTTGCAGTACAGAGTGCATGCTTAGTTCACGAGATCAAAAAAGCGGGTGCGGTGATGGCAAATCATAACCTGGCTCAGTCAACTGTTATTTAATAGAATCTACTTTGATATCCCGGCTTAATGCAAGCTAATTGGTTACATGAAGTTTTTATAGTGCTGTGGTAATTTATTTGACACTACTAAAAAATGTCCAGATAGCCTGTGGCTTACTTTGTATTATATCTGAGCTTAATTCGTATTATTAAAAACTATTTCGGACTGACTTGACTACATGCCACGAGTCAGTGCCGTCCATGTTGTTCAAATCAAGGTCCATATTCAAATCAACATGATCAAGGGCATCGGCTTATTTGTGRCGTCATGSAAATGACGTTCCAATGCACGACCTTGGATTGCGAAGTGTTGTTAACATGCAAGGTCGAATCTAAGCTTGTATATACCGACTTAACTGAGAGCCATTRCATTTTTTTGTTATTCTTATTCAAGTATATATTCCAAGTGCGTCTTCAGCTGCAGTTGACTTGGTCGACGCGAGCGACAAGTGCGTGTGGACGATTATCAAGTATAAATATGGAAGTAGCAATTAGCGTGCCACCGACGCTACACTGATTTAGCGTAAACAAGCACCGCCCACTTTTCAGTTCCTACTGAGTGTCAGGAAAACCATTCTAGCTAGTTTCAGAACAACTAGTCGAAAACTATAACCTTAACTAGCGGTGTCATATGTTGTTATGTTGAAATGCTTTGATGTGGAATGGCGGTGTTTATGCCATCTCTACTGACCCATTTCTTCAGTCCCGGTTGACCTAACTGTTTTTCAATCGTTGGCTATAATTAGCACCACAAGGCAAACACTAATGCCATGATGTTTGTCCAACTTTTCAGACGGCGCCGGTTCTTGTATAATCTCTGACGTTCTACCTTTAATGCCAAAAGTTCACAAAGAATTTTGTTGAAACGGAAAACACTGCACTAATCGTAACTAATTAAACAATGAAGTACTAATGACTGTAGTTTTATAACTCGTCGAGAATTTTAGGGCTTTTGATGGTGCTTGTCTGTCGGTCAAAACTGAAAACTTCACTTTGAAGTCTATTTTTTATTGTGCTCGGGTATGTTTTTGCATCGTGTTCCCTCACCTTTCCAMAGATTTAATCAAGTGTTAAGGCAAATTAATGAGAAAATGATAGCAGTTTGTTTGTTATTCATCAGATTGTATGCCGTCTTCCAAAAGCTGTGACTAAAATTCTTCAAATTATCATTCTCGTTCTATTTGATTTTTATGTCTATYTRTGTTTGTTGCTCCATTGGTATTCAGATTTAAGCTGTMCCCGACCAATGGCTGTTTGCGGTTGTTTACAACGAAACGCGTCTCGGGTTGTTGACGTCTTGGGCACAAGATCAATTGCCAAATAATAAGCACATTTTACAAAGACGTGGACAAAGCTGAGTCAACCAGGTGGATTTGCTCTATGTGTTTTGATCCGAACAATATACATTGGCTTAACGAGGTGCCGAATCACTTTCAATTGCAGGGCTGCTGCATTGTTGTGTAACAATTTGCTCAGTTTGAGTCAAGTGTTTTTAAAAGTTCTTACTGCTGAAAAAAAAACTTCATTCAGAGAATTTATTTTATCAATTCAAGTTGTCTGAAGAGTTTTTAACTAAAATCTCCATGTGCACTATGAATTGTCACGTTTTTATGTTGTAAATATTGTTTYCGTTAAAGTCCTGTGGTCTATACTTCTGATAGTACATATATAAACGTTATTTTCTAATCAAAAAATGTATTCATTAAAATTAATCATTAAAACCTCTGMCAAAAAGTACTCGAGCATTTGCAATGCCTCGGATGAGATCTACTTTTAAAATGATCATATCATATTTTTAGTCATTGAATTACTGTAAAAAAAGAGCAATAGACTGTCTATTGCTGTAACATTATTCGAGAACTGGCCAGCTTGATAATGAATTTCAAAGTCAAAACGCCGCACCTGAGGAACGATTCTTCATTGGCTCAATAGGGCAAACACAAAAAACCGCCGTTTTGCCATCTGAATTACAGTGAATAAAAAGTTCTGTTTAGCTGACTACTTTGAAGCCGTGCAATAGAATTGCTTGTTGTGATGGCTGAATGACTTTTTCCTCAGTAATATGTCACGTACTCYGCTCTTTGCCTTTTGGAGGATTACAGAAGCTAAGATTAAAGCATTTATTATCTTATAAATAGTCATTGATTTGGGCATTGTTCGACAATTGAAAGATCACTGCTTATAATATTCATTGCAGACGATAATGCTGGAGTAGTTCCAGTCATACAAAATCTTATCAGAGTTTGGTCAACTTCAGAGTTCAAAATGTTCGATGTGACACAGCGTKATGTCACGTCTTCTTAGGAAAGCGTGTTTACCTTGTTACAAGCCCCTGATGGCTGCACAATCAACTTGACCTTCAGATGTTGTTTTGAAGCGCAGTGGAGCGAGTCAGGCTTAACGCTCACCTTGGACTGACGAGAAACCACTTCATAAAAGTTGTCAAAGAACGGATTGATGGGTAGGGTCACTGGACCGTGAATATTCCATATATAATGCACACTGTAATCACGATCCCGCATTTGATTTCTTTGCTCACCTAACGACGAGACGGACACTYGGATATCCATTGAAACACACAAGCATAAGGACCTAGACTAGTAAAACAGCAGGATGACATCAGTGTTCCAAGATAACATTTTTCTCTTGTATATCGTAACTTTTGTGACAGCGGCGTGCGTCGCGATGTACTTTTTGACAAGAAGACGAGAGCAGCTTCTTCCTCCTGGACCGTGGAGTCTTCCAGTAGTTGGAAACATTTTCCTATTTGGTTCCTCACCTCACAAGAATGTCACCAAACTTGCAAAGCATTACGGCGACGTGTTTTCCATGAAACTCGGCAGTCGTGATGTCGTGCTTTTAAACTCCGTCGATGTTGTGAAAGAAGCACTTGTCAAACGCGCTTCAGATTTCTCTGGAAGGCCACCTTTGCATACCTTCCTCGTTTCCAGCAATGGTGGGAGAAACGTAGCATTTACAGACTTCGGATCCAAGTACACACAAAACCGACGAGCCCTTGACCAAGCATTACAAGTATTGACGAAAGACAGTGAGGTGTTTTCGGAAGTTGCTCAATACGAAGCTGAGGCACTTGTGCAGAACYTACTKAGCTGTCAGAAGGAAAAATTCAACCCAGAAAAACACATCTTGTCTCTGTCAGCCAGCTTTATGATGAGAATGTTCTTTGGTGCTCATATTCGTGACAAGTACCTCGGAGAAGGTCGTGATCTCATGACTGGATCTACTGAATTCATCGAAAACAGCGCGGCAGGAAATACAGTGGACTTCATGCCATGGGTGAAAACTGTATTTCGCAAGCAGGTAAAGGAGGTGGATGATTCCGTAMGAAGTCTGGTGCAGTTTGTTAAGAAAATTTACCTATTGCGATTGAACAGTGCTGACTCCAAGGAGAATCTTGTTGTTCTTACTGACCATCTCAAGAATCTCGTAACAGCCCGAAGAACTGAAAAAGAACAAGGAGTGTCTACTGAAGATCCCAAGGCGGCGGTCCCAAATGTCGACTTTGACGATGATCATGTTGTGCATCTAATTGCTGACTCCTTTGGCGGTGGATACGAGAAATTGTCCACTGCTATGCGATGGAGTTTTGCTTATCTTGTAGCCTATCCCGAAGTACAGGAACAACTCTATAAAGAAATCCAGCACGTCAAAGGGTCAGAAAAAATCACTTTAAACGACAGGAAAAAGTTACCTCTTCTTGAAGCCACTATAATGGAAGTTCTTCGACGAAGTTGCTTCTTGCCATTCGCTTTGCCTCATTGCACTATTAAAGACACTCAGATTCAAGGTTACAAGCTTCCAAAGAACACTATTGTATTTGTAAATCTTTGGTCTTGTTGCCATGATCCTAAATACTTTGAGGAGCCTTTCAAATTTAATCCCATGCGTTATCTGGACAAGAGACAGCAAAGTATCAAGCCAAACCCTTGTATGATGGCATTATCTGAAGGTGATAGGAAGTGTCCAGGAGAAGGCTATGCTAAGTCTGCACTCTTTGTGTTGCTTGGAACTGTCATTCAAAAGTTGAAATTGCGCAACGGGACAGAAGAACCGATTGAAGAGAAATTTGGACTCACGTTAAGACCCAAAGGAACTACTATTTATGTTGAATGCAGATCATAAAGTTAGTCTCTTAACTGAAACGCAGTCATGACAGTTGACGACGTGAACTTTGCATTATTGCATACAAAGAGAASAAAATGAGGAGTTAAAGAAATGACAAACAACCTGACAAATGGGATACTAAGAAATGAGTTATTATTTCAGAAACTTTTGTAGAAAAATCTTGAATTGTTGAACATTTGACTGAAACAAAGGAAAATCCATTGTTTCATCAACGAAAGATCATCTGCATCTGGATCCCCATACAATGCACAAACAAGTTGGTATTTCTACMGCGGAAACATTGCTATATCAAATCAGAATAGAGATTTTAAAACATTATTATCAAACCGAATAATATTTGATYATAAGAAAAAAAGGTTGAAAATTTGTACCAACGAAGGAGCAATACTATTGCATCTGGAAATCTTTGTGTAAAGAACTAATTATTTTAGATCATTTTATRCTGAGTACCTAGTATATCAAAGAGTGGGCGTGTTTAGATATCTACTTAATGATTCCATATTTCATCGCCGTTTATGTAGTTGTCAATGTAATATTTGTATTGTAAAGTTCAGTGATTTTTTAGCTAAAAATACTTTTAATTATAAAAACTTGATTTTTAAGTAAAGCATTAAATACCTCATGTTTCTATTTCCACCGGTTTTTGTGACCTATTTTTCTAATTGACGTTTAAAGGCCTACAGGCACGTCTGCATACCATACTTGWCTATGCTACCTTTTATAGATCGTTAAGTTCGTTTACCTCTCATGCACTTGATATTCGAATATAGATACAACTGCATGCCACTGGCACTGTGCCACGTACGTCGCTACTTCAGATTTTACGCTTGAAAAACGAAATTTCTTACATTCAAGATAAAGCAAGATATGAGTAATGGCTGAATTAGAATTTAAAAGGATGGGGAACTCATAGCCTGGAGTATACCGTCATGCAGACTTCTGAACGGCAGACTGCATGTTCTTCATARAGCAAAGGCGTGCGCAGGGGTTTCGTGAGGGATGGGGTAGGGGTTGGGTTGAGTGATGAATACGGCTGTGTACAAAGAAAATAGCATATTAGTCGAGTTTTCAATTTAATTCTCTTGGGGACTTGCAAAATCACAGCTCATCAGATATATGCTTAAATTTCCCATCCTTTTGTATTTTAGAAATACAATGTTGTATTATGAGTTATGATCTAAAATAGTAGAACGTTTTTTATCAAAGACTTCAAAACTACAAAATGAATTGACTAAAATATTCCTTTAAGAACATGCTGGAACATTCGTTGCTTGATTTGAATTAACCAAGTTATAAAAGTCATCCATGCAAGCCAACTATCTAATTGAGATACATTCTGATATCGAACRCGGCATGGGGCTTTTGTTTGTTATTAGTTTAGCGTAAAACGGAAAAATCAGTCGAGCGCTTTCTGAACTTGACCGGATATTTTGCAGTGACAAATAGAATGAAAAGCAAACCTTTTTGCACACCGGAAGTGCAAGCGATATGTATAGCAGACATCGATTGTATTGCTTTTTATTGCTGAAAATGAAACGTAAATTTCAGTTATGTTTGAACTGAGCAGCTCTTTTTTTTGCCGCTATTTACAAGATCGTTGAAATCTCGATCAGTCTACCATAAAATAAGACTTCGATGACAGAAACTTCTTTGAAAAAATTTTACAATTAAAGTTTAAATCACGTATGTCGCAAGTGCAAATTAATTAGTATGGCGCATCATTTGTGTTGAATTTGCGTTAACCCWTACCCTAAAGTTGTACATTTTAATGTGAAATCAAAAAGCGTACTAATAGTACAAGAACTGCATGGTTGACCCCAATGCAATCTGGAGTTTTTACCAGACAATCGTCTGCATTGATGACCCGATCTTTGAAATAACGATTTGATAAGGAATACCCWTGGAAGAATGAAGAAATCTGAATCGATCATTAATTTAGTTTATCAGCAARGTAATAGAGCGAAGGTTAGAATCCAAAAATATCATTTTTTCAGGCTATGAGTAAACACGTTTCATTAACCTTAGTACACGAAGGTATGGTTCATAAAATACATCGGCAACGACATTCCCCAAGCCATCCTCGGGAAYCCAAGGGATTTTTAGTGGGGCTTCGCTCCAATCTCACTCGGCCCCCACTAACAGCCCCTTGGTTYCCGAGGATGTCACTATTGTACCAATACACGATTTCACTGATCGAAGGTGCCAATTATTAAGACAAGGAGAGTGTCACGCAGCTCGTGACACTACAATTAACACTACAGTTACGCAATTTCACGTATTACTTGAGTCTCTTTGAGATCTGTAAATAGTACAATTGTATATAAGCCGACCATTTTGATCCATTGGATGTAAAATAAAAGTTCTAATTCATATACGAGAATTGCATGGTCAAACTACAAGCTCGACAATATTTTAATATTAAAAGTACTTTAATTCAGCGTCTTTTTCTCAGTTGCCTTGTTTCTTTATTTCTTTGTAAAGTGCACGTATATGTAACTCGAAAAAGTGTCCAGAAAAACCGGCGAATGTACAAATAGCTTTAGGTTGTTGTGGTTTGCAGTGCTTTGTATCCGAGGAATTACTGGCCATTGAATGGCACATTTTGACAGCTATTTCTGAAATAACTAATTCAACTGGGAGAAAGTTCACTCCTCTGGGCTGAGAAGTGGAGTCTTGTGGTGTATATAACTGGTGAAGCTGCCGCTTGTTCCCACTACTAGCTACTATCGAGGACTGATATCTTGGCATGAAAACACTCTTCTTAGCTTCGTAAGCGCTAATCGACTGAACTGTTACGTTTTCTCCAATGCTTTACGATTTTCTCCAAGCATTTTGGATATTTTTCTTGTTTGTTCACGGAATTTATCTTTTACTTCGTGTTTACGCTGATCACCTGAGTCTTCAGCACTGCAAGATATGGAAATTCATATAAACTTGATATGCAATGATGCGACGTATACACCTAATTGAAGAAACTTTGTCGGGCCCAAAAAGGTCAAATCATAGAAGCTAAGACCGAAAGGGTACTTGGGAAGACAAACAATTTGGCTAATTTCATACAAACAGCTCTTCAGCATAAAAGACTAGCATGCTGTTAATCTTACTAGCTCTACCTGCGTTACGGTACACCGTATATACAAATGTAATCCCAATTTAGTGGTACTCAAAATCCCTTTCGGTCTTAGCTTCAATGATGTGACCTTTTCGAACACGACTACGTTTTTTCAATTAGGTGTATTTGATGAAAAGTATCATTAAATTGTTAAAAGTTTTGGATGACTTTCTTTGCAAAATAAGCTTAAGCCAATGTCCGGGATTCTTTAGATTTGTATTTTCGTCAGTCCTTTCGCGAGACCAACARCTCAATAGCAGAGTCTCAGAATAATAGTACAAGACTATTCTGAAGTCATGTATTGCTCTGACAAGGTATTCAGAGGGTGTGCTAGCAGGTTACCAAATAGACTTGCCCAAGTCTCTTTWACTCMMAGGAATGGGTGAATATTGAGCGCRAAGCGCGAWGGTMGAKRTAAGGAACGAGCGGAAAACGGACTTCGCGAAAGTCTAGTTAGATCTACCACAATGTCTAAACGGAATGAATTTCCCATAATACCTTTTGAGTAACTCGACGCATGTTGTATGTCCGTAAATCTCAGCCACTCGTCTTGGAGTATCACCTGAATTATCAGGTAAGGTAACGGGTGCGTTGTTTTCGACCAAAATCTTCAGGACRTTAAATCTACCTGTCTCGGCTGCGCAGTGAGCTGCTGTCCAGCCCCCGACCATCTTCGCGGTCGGGTCTGCCCCATATTCTAGAAGAAGCTTGACGCATTTAGCGTGTCCTGTGAAAAAAAATGATTGAGAAGTTCATGAATTGTCTTTTCCTCTAATGACGTCATGTGTTTAGGGACTGTGCAATAATTACCAAGAGAGGGGCCGTAAAACCAGATGGGGGGGCATTACATAAAATTGATGGCAAGATAGGGGGGCACAAAGTAAAATTACCTAATCAACAGAGGGGGGGGGGCCTTAAGTTTCATTCAAAATTTTCATAATTTCCGATGTCTCTCAAAATGCTGGAAATCGCATTTCCAAGAGTTATTTCTTTCAAATTTTGAAAAAGAAATTTCAAAATTTTCTGGGGGAGGACCAGACTCCTTAATACTCCCGACTTTGGCGTTCGATCCTTAGACCCCAGATCCAAAATATATGTCGCCGTCCCTGACATGTGCATGAGTCCACGCTACGCGCCTGACTAATGGAAATCTAAATTCAAAGACTCGTTGATGTGTGATTGAAATTGACCAAGATATGATTTTTTTTTTCAACAATTGATTATTTCATTGAGGATTAGTTTTCAAATAAATTGAAGATGTAGAAGCTGAAAAACATATTGATGATCTATTAGACATAACAAGCACAAGTAATATCAAAGTAGTTTTTGACCATAAAAATGTTACATAAGCCTTTTTTGGACCTTG